TCATATAACCATACTCTTGACAATATTGTTTATATTCATCGTACAACGACCTTTCATCTAAACACTCAAAGTTAGTCTCATCTATAAACAGTTCATATACACTCTTGTTTGCTTCTAACAATGTTTGTCTTTCTTCGGTATGTGGAATTTGTCTTGGATTGAACTTAGAAATATCTAATGTCATGAAATATGAGAACAAGTGGTTGTAAAAGTCAGATGTCAAAGTTTCTGCTAAGTCGTCAAAATATTCTGTATCTTGCATATGAGAATCTGACGTTCTGACAACTACATATCTTCTGTCAGAACTTTCTAACTTCATCGGAACAGCATTGTTTGAAACCATAATGAAATTTGCACATTTTCACAAACTCTTTGGTCTTTATATTTTCTTTCAACAACTCCAACTTTGTCTGTTATAAGACTCTTCAAAGCATCTGAGTTCAAAACTTTTGTTGTATCTATACTTTGAAGTTCGTTACATACTATAAGTTTCATATTCTCTATTGAAGAGTTAAATTTACCGCAGATGTTTTCTAAGTTTGTCATATTCGGATTCGAATAGCCCTCTAATAGTTTGCATAAGATATCTGTAAAGAATGTGTTCTTACCAGTTCCTTGTTTTCCAATTATAATGAGAGCAGTTTCATTCTTAGCACTTGGATATTGTAAGATGTTTGCAAACCAACATAAGATATACTCATAGACTCTTTCGTTTCCATTGCATATAATTTCTTTGACATGGTCTAACCAAGCTTCTATAACATTTTCTTTCCATTCTACTTGTTCGTATTTATATCCAGTGAAGATAGAATAGAAGTTTGGAGATGGTGTATAAAACTTTATACCACGAACTGAAAAATCTTCTAACTTCGACAATAAGATATCCCAAGCATCTAACATCTTCATGCCAACCTGTACGACTTTTATTTTCTTAAGTTTCTGTCTACATTCTTGTTCTGAAACTATGTTGCTCTTGGTTTGTTAAAGACAACATCCCATTCTTTCATAACATAACATTCTGGGGCAGAGTCGACATAAATGACTAAACGTTTCAAATTCTCGACTGCTTTGTTATAGTCTCTAAATGGACACATATTTCTGAACGCTTGGAAGTCATAAAAATCTGAAACGTCTATTCTGTACATTTTTATAAAAATAAAAAAAATATTTTTTTTATTCTTGACTTTGTTGTTCCATTTGTTGCATTTGTTCCATTTGTTGTTCTTGAGCTATTGTTGTTGAAGTTGTTCTTGTAATACAATACTTTCACCAGTTGCATCTTCCAATTCGAAACTTTCTGCCGTCATTGACAAATACATAGGACATAAAAAGTTTTACAGGAACAAAGTTTGCGTCGACTAAGGTTAAGTTTATGTTTGCTAAAGTGTTTGAGTTTACTAAAGCTGAAAACTCTGCATTCGAATGAACAATAGGCAAACCAGCAGAGAAAGTGTTGTTTATACGCATGAGTATCTTTTGGTCATAGTAGTTTCTGTCGACATTCGAATAGCACTTTGAACCTAAGTTTGAAACAATATATAAAATAGGTGTACTTAAAGTCAATGGAACAGACAAACCTTGTATGACACCTTTTCCTGTTATAGGAAACTGTTGGTAGTAAAAACCAGATATAAGTTTTGTATTATAGCTCATATCGTTTATACTAAACTCAGTCGGACATCCAAACATAATGAAACCTGCTCTAGTTGCAGCACATGTTACATCCGTCCTTAAGTATTAAATAAGTCAACAAAACCTGTTGGTGGTATATCTGAGTAAGTATCTTCAAAGGAGTATTTTTTACCATTCACAACAATAAAATCTTCTGGTGTCAAAAGAGCAAAACAGGCTTTAGTCGTCATTGTGTTTAAGGTTAGTTTACAATATCGTCCTTGAGGACTTTGTAAGTTTGTTGTTATAGAATTATATGACTCAGGGTTTTTAGTCGTAATAGTATAAACCACTATGTCTTCTGCCATTTACTTAGCAAATAAATTTTAATGAAATGTTGTGGTCGTCAAATATTTTTATGACGTCTGGGAAACTATATTTTAAGTTCAACGTTTCACCTCCTTTCATAACGTATATCTTGTCAATGACATTATATGAAACACCACAGCAACTAACGTCGGGTTCTATTTCTTTGATGTTTATATCGTCTGCCTCTGTCAAAGTTTCAATAGTTCTTTCAAAATTTCATGAGGTGCGATGACATATGAGTTCACTTTTACAGGGTTTGTTCGACCAAGTTTAACATTATACCTAAAGCTTGACAAATCTTCTCCTGAGTTTTAAGTTTGTCTTTAAGTTGTTGGTAGTCGTTTCGAATATCTGCAACAGAACTTAAGTCTCTGCTAACTTCAGGATATGTTGGTTGTTCTTTTACAGGAACTATTGTTATACCATCTTCGTCTTCGTATGGTTTCCCCACTTCAACATCTCTTTTTTGACATTGACAACAACACTTTGACTGTTTGTTTGAGTTGGTGAATTTAACTTCACATCTGCCATCGCCATTAAACCTTTTGAAACACTTACGCTTCTATTTTTCGGAAATGACATTTTACTTAGAATAAAAAGATGGACGTATTTGAGTATCTCTTCGAATTGAAGCAGAACAAAGTTTACACACACAAACAATACAAGTTCATTGATAGAATAGTTCTTTACACAAACAATGGAAAATGTTATAGAATAGCAGTCTTTGCTGAACCAAAATATTTTCATAAAGCAAAGAAAGTTGGTATAACCGAGATGGTGAAAGTTCTTGAAGCAGACAAAAATATAACAACAAAACTGACCGATATTTCTAAAGGAAAGTTTATCTTACAATTTTATGTCAAAACTGGCGTACTGTCAATATTTGACGGAGAGAAGTCAGTTCAAGAACAACTTACTGACCTGCTGCCAAAATCTGCTCGATGGAAGCTGTCGTTATGCCAATCTGAGGAGCCCCAGCAGGTTTCATCGAACGAATCTTCAAAAGAGCATCTTCCGTGAAAAGTGCTATTGGTTTTGTAAACTTCTTTGCTCTCAGTTCATCTGGACCGTCTCTGTCACCAGTATATTGTATTTGAACTGTACCAACAGTTGAAATACCACCCATAAAATCTTCTGAGTCAGCAAATGGAATGCCAAGCCAAAAGTTTGAACGGTCTCCATTTGTATATTGAGTGTTTTGAGCTCCTGTATGAGTCCATACTTTCACATATGGCATAATAGAACTTTGCATTTCAGGGTTAATGGTTGTTGTGAAGTTGTTGTTAAAGTTCATAGCATCTAATGTCAAGTTGTATGACCTCATATCCTCAACTGTAGAATATTCTTCTCTTGGATAATATTTGCCATCTATGTTTATATGGTATTTAATACCAGGGTTGTAGAAGCAAGAATAGTCATTTATAGTTCGTCTGAACAGTACAAACATAGTATCTGCATGTTTCATTGCAGTTGTTAAAGCAATATCTGTTCTTGCACCTGCGGCTCCTGGATTTTGGTTTCCAACTTCACCTGCAAAGTCTTTGACAGATATTTGGTGTATAGGGAACATAAGTGGAACTGCAATATATTTGGCAGCTAAAGCATTTGAAATATCTGGGTCCAACATATAGACTGCAAGTCTGCTTTCTATTCTCTTGCATTCAAACTTTTCGCATGTGAACTTAACTGGGTCCCAAGCAGTTCCAGCAGCATTGAAATAATAGTTTACTTCAGTGTTGAGGTTTGAGAAACCAAAGTCTAAGTCAACTTTGTCTTTGCAAAAGTCGGCGAATGACGTTTTATTTGTTCCCACTACTTCTGTAAGAGTGAATGGGTCTTGTGTTGGTGCAATGACTAAGTTATTTTTGCTTGGAGTAAGTTCGATAGAAATTTTTCCTGCCCAGTTTGGCAAGTATCTTAAAAACCTGAAGATGAGGAAAGATGACAAAGGAACTCTAAGTTTCAGTTTTACTTTAGTGACAGCATTTCCATCTGAACCAGAAAGGTTAACATAAACTCCTGGAACGTTAGGGTCAAGTCTTCTTATTTTCTCAATAGTTGCATACTGGTCTGTTTGTTCTCTAGCTTGTGGTTGTACTGAGTTTCTCAAAGCGAACCATTCATAGTTTGCCCATGTTACTGTTTGAACTAAGTCAGAGTTAGAATATATCTTATATCCCATGAAAACTTCTGGAGCATATTGGTATCCGACATAGAAAATTCCATTGCAACCTTTCTTGTCAGACAACTTGGCAGAAGGTTTTATTTCAATGTCTTGTTCCACGTATAAGAATGAGTTGTCAATAGAAATAATATGAAACCTGTCGCAAGCAATATCTACTGTTGTTGAAGAACCTTCTCCAAACTCACCTACGTTTCCATAAGAAACAGCAGTTGTATATTCGTAAGTTCCAGGAACTATTTCTGACCTTCTAATGGCATTGTCGCATTCGTTATACCATTCGGAAACATTTCCATTCATAGCATCCAAAACTGTTGGCGTTATATTCTGAGCGGCGTACATTTCATATGAGTAAAAATATAGAATAGTTGGATTTATATGTCATAATAGAACCCACGTGGACCAAGCTTTACTTTCTTCCTGACTGAGTTTTTAACTCTTCTTTTTCCTTCATTGCCCTCTGCTTGAAGTTGTTGCATCTTTGCCTCATGTTCATCTAGTATGTTGCAAATTTTCCATGCCCTTTTTGCCTTTGGGCTCTGGTCGCCCATCTCAGGTAACCTATATCCTAGAAAGATTTTGTCATAGTTTGTATTTGAGTCTTCCTTTATTGTTTGCATGACTCTTTCCTGAGTTTCAGGTTCAAGCTCTTCAAACAGTGCCTGTCCATATGGAATAAGCTCGTTTCCAAATATATGTTTTTGTAGCCATTCTGGTTTTCTTTCCATGTTACCAACAATATCTTTTGTGAATGGGAAAGCTTTTACCCAATCTTTCAGTCTTGCGTCGTTTATTTCTGTAGTTGGTTTTATTTTGTCAAGGAACATGTTTTTCAATACTAACATTTCATTTGGTACTGTCCATTTGAGTTTTCTTAAATATTCATCCCTTCTCGGTTCATTGTCTGCAAAGTAAGTTTTTATGACATTTTGTAAACTTTCGTTTGCAAGGTCATGTACAATAGGTTCTCTTCCTTCTCTCTCCCTAACTTTCTTTCTAAACTCTTCACCAAATATACCATCTTTATGGTTCTGTGTAGTTCTTTGAGATAAATGTTCTAGAACGTCAGGTGTTATATTTCCATCAGCCATGTTCATTTCATACTGGTTCAAAATATCTGCATCTTTCATATCTTTCAATGGCATTAAAGCCGCGCTGAAAATACCAGCTATATCTGGTTCACCATTGACTTCCATTGCGTCTACAACTTCTTGGAATTGAGGTTGTAAGTTTATGAACCACCTATCCGGGTTAGCTTTATGACCCCATCTCATTGTAGTTCCATCGTCTGCAGAAACAAAAGTAGGTTTGTTTCCATCTTGGCTAGGTTCTGAATGAACTTTAAACAATGTTTCATTTCTATATGTTTTCTTGAAATTTAACCTTTTATCTTCACCGAGTTCATCCGAAGATTGAACGTTAAATGCTCGTAAGTAAAAAGGGTTGTTGTATTTGTGTACATTTTTTTTCAGTTCTTCCATTCTATGCTGAATATTTTCATCTGGTGTTGGAGTCTTTTGTATGTCGGCAAACATTTTTCGATATTCTTCTACTATGTCAGCCGAATCTTTCTTAGACTCTTGGAAAGATTCCATATTCACCTCATGCTCTTGTTGAGGGTCAAGATTTTTCGGCTGTTCCAAATCTTCATCTAGTTCTGTGAAGTTAGTTTCCAAAGGAGTGACTTGTTCGTTTCCTTCAGGCTCTTCTAGCTGTTGTTGCTGAACTATTTCTTCCATGTCTGGTTGTATCTGAACTAGTTCTTCCTGTGGAGTTTCTTGTACCTCATCTGCTGGCATTTCATATATTCCGAGACCGTTTTTAACAATTTCCCTATCTACGTCATCCGCATTCATAAGCTTTTGTTCTTTCGTTCCGTCTCCTTTTTTTACGCGTTTCATGACGAAAGTTGAATTGTCATTTAGCTCTGACATCAAATATCTCGGAGTAAATTCATCCATGTCATTTGGATGATATGCTATTAAATCATATCCCTTAGCGAGCTTGTATTTTCCAGGTTTGAGATTATATCCGTTTTGGTGCTGAGCCATAAAGCTAAATAGGTTCGGGTCAGTATTTCCATCCTTGAACTTTCCAATAGCTTCTTTATATCTGTCACTAAAGTCAATAGTATCTGGGAAACCACACTCTTCTTTAAGCATTTTTAAGAATTCTTGGTTTCCTTGTTCTCTACTTCTTTTATGTCCTTGCTCTGTTTGTGGTTGTTGTGCTGGTTGTGGAGGTGGTTGCTGTGCTGGTTGTTGTTGTTGTTGTGCTGGTTGTGGAGGTGGTTGTTGTGTTGGATTTTGAACTGTTGGTTGTTGTGTTGGTTTTGGTGCATGCCTGTGTCTATGTCCATGTGACGATGTAAATGTTTTAGGTAGTCCTGGTGCAGGTGCTTCTCTTGGAGGGTTTGGTGGTATATAAGTTCCACCAGCTGGCACATATGTTCCATCTGCAGCATAGTGTCCTACCTGACTTTTCGTTTTTAAGAAAGCATTTACTAGGTCTGTTTTGGTCTGTTGTAACTCTTTTTCTTGACTTTTCACAACAGTTGCTCTAACGGCGTCATAGGCACTTTGAACTGCCTGTCTCGTTGCTGCATCTGTTATTTTCGTCATATTTTGTGCTACTTCTCTTAACTCTTTGTCGAAACCTTCAGACTTCAGTTTCTTTCCAGATGAGAAGTCGTTCACTTGTTTCACCTTACTATGAAGAGCTTCGAAGGCGTTCTTAAAGTCAGCATTCATTAAAGCTTCATTTGAACTGTCTTCATCCGCTTGTATTTTTGTCCTTATTGACCCTATAAGTTGGGCTGCTTTAGCGTTGGCTTGGGCATCTAACCAGTCATTGTTAGCTTTTATATATTCTGCGCTTTTCATTGCCTTTTGCATAGCCGCGTCGTTATTTTTACTTTCTTGTGCTAAGTTTTCATACTGTACGGTTTGGTTTTGCAACTGTAAAAGTTTTTCTGCCTTTACATTTGCTTCAACTTCTTTTTTATACTCATCGCTATCCATATATGTCTTCAGGGCTTTTTGTTTTATCTCTTCATCTTTCAGTACTTTATATCGAGTAGTATGGTTTTTCAAATTTATGACATCTTGTTCCATTTTTGCTACTTCTGCTGCTTTTTCTGACACTTTTTTCGCATATTCCTCTGTACTTAGTTCTTTCAGTTGTTCTTCTTTCTTCTTTTTCTCTACGTTTAACTCATTGAGTTTCTTTGTGTGTCTGTCATATTCTAGTTTCTTTCGTTTTCACTTATTTGTTTCTGTATGTCTATGTTTGACTTTTTGACATCTGTTATTTGATTTTTGAGTGAACTCAAATTCATTTGACTTTGAGGTTATATGCTGTTCCGTCTGCAGCTCCACCATAGCCTGCCATTTTCGCTAAAAGTGCCGCTCTTAAACCTCCACTCTGTGCACCAATGACTCGGTTTAAAAGCATAGGATTGCTTGACATTTGTTGCAACATAGTGGGGTCATTCAGCATTTGTTGTTGCAACTGTTGTTGTGGTGTCAGTCTTACTATTGGATGTTTCAATGCTCTCTTCCTCTTACGTATATTCTTACGTAGCTTACGTGGCATTTTAAGTGAAGTTAAAAAGCGGCTTTTGACAGATGTTTGTATGACACTTCTTCGTAAAGACTTTGTTGAGACTTCTTCGTAAATGAGTGTAAATGACCCAAAAATATAATTTAGGGTAGAAGGGTATATCTACCCCGTTTTCTACCCTCTTTTCTACCCTCTTGAATTTTCATGAATTTCTTCGTAAAGACTTTGTCAAGACTTCTTCGTAAAGACTTTGTTAAGACTTCTTCGTAAAGACTTTGTTGAGACTTCTTCGTAAAGACTTTGTAAAGAAAGTTCATGAAAATTCAAGAGGGTAGAAAAGAGGTAGAAAAGAGGGTAGATATACCCTTCTACCCTAAAATATATTTTGGGTCATTTACGCTCATTGTCTATGTTTTGTTGAACTTCTTCATCTAATTTCTCATGAACTTTCTTGTCTATGTTTTGTAAAGACTTTGTCAAGACTTCTTCGTAAAGACTTTCTTGTCTATGTTTTGTAAAGTTCTTCGTAAAGACTTTGTAAAGACTTTGTCAAGACTTCTTCGTAAATGTTTTGTCAAGACTTCTTCGTAAAGACTTTGTTGAGACTTCTTCGTAAAGACTTTGTAAAGAAAGTTCATGAAAATTCAAGAGGGTAGAAAAGAGGGTAGAAAAGAGGGTAGATATACCCTTCTACCCTAAAATATATTTTTGGGTCATTTACGCTCATTGTCTATGTTTTGTTGAGACTTCTTCATCTAATTTCTCATGAACTTTCTTGTCTATGTTTTGTAAAGACTTTGTCAAGACTTCTTCGTAAAGACTTTCTTGTCTATGTTTTGTAAAGTTCTTCGTAAAGACTTTGTAAAGACTTTGTAAAGACTTTGTAAAGACTTCTTTGTAAATGTTTTGTCAAGACTTCTTCGTAAAGACTTTGTTGAGACTTCTTCGTAAAGACTTTGTTGAGACTTCATTTATACTCATTCATCCTCAGGGCTAGAAGGCACGAAGTGCCTGGAAGCCCCACTACCTTTTTTTTTTTTTTTTTTTTTTTTTTATTTTTGCTATTTTGATTAAAATTTGTTAATCAAATTAATAAATTTTTTCTAAATATCTTAAATATCTGGATCACTCACATATACAATGAATTGAACGATAAAAATAATACAAACTCAACTAAGTTTCCTGTCTTTCAACTAAAAAAAATTATGCAAATTAAATTAAATTGTTTATTCAAATATAAAACAAAGATGAAGTAATTACAGTTATCATAAACTTTATGAATAACTCTGTAATTGGTTCAGATTTTCGTAAAAATATTTTTATTAATATCGATAAGAATACGTTTACCTACTATCACAACATATCGATAAACAAGAGTAGAGTGATTTTTATCATCGAAACTTTTTAAAAGCTGTAAGCTGGAAGGAAAAATCTTGTTTTTTCTGAGTTAGTTGTAGAACTATTGATGCACGAGTTATCATTGTGATGTAGAAGGATGTCAATGTACTGACTGAAGGATATGAAGTGAATTGAATTTCATTGCATTTCAATTTGATCAAAATTTGTTGAAATGATATGAATGTGTCAACATCTGTATCACTCTCTTTCACTCCTTCCCTATTTTTTCGAGAACGAAGCTAGCTCAGGAAGGAGTGACACTTTTGATGCCCTAAACGTACATACTCTCAAATTTATCGAAAAAAATTATACCACCTAAACTAGTATATTCTTATTTTAAATATGATATTATCCTTAGAATCCACACTAGAATATATTTAAATCAACTTTTAAAAAAGTTCGAATCCTGCGCGTCTCACTTTTTAAATTTTCCAAAAGGAAAATTATATTCTCCTAAAATGAAAACAATTTTCCGAATTGACATCCTTATAACAACAAATGAATATTCATATAATCTTTTAACTTCCAGAAAATCTTCCAAAAATGAATTTTTTCTCTTCCAAATTTATGCTGTGCTTCCAAATTTGCAACCCTATTATAATATAATTTAATTTTCTCATTCTTCTTTAAACTAGTTTTTTTTTGTATAAAATTTTTTGGTGTAAACTTTAAAATCTTGTCACTTTTATATTGAGATGGGGAAAATTGATGCTAAAAGTATTCTTTTTGCTTGCTTTCTAGCCGGCGGTAAACTTCTTTATGACAAAGTATGTAAGTATCTCGAAGAGAATGAACACATAGATCACGGAATTATTCCAAAAAAAGAATCTTTAACGTACCTAGATAATCAAATAGCTACAACAGCTCAGCAGTACCAAGAATTTTCGATGTCACTACTCAATGACATTCTAAAATTCCCTCATTCGTTTGAAGAAAAACCTATTGATTTAGAAAAGAAATTTATGGATTACTTAAGGCAGACAATTATTAATAAAAACGCAGTTTTTAGCCCAGGAGATGTTAAATATGACAAAAATAGGAATCTCGTATGGATGATTGCAAATCCAACAGATCCTGTACCCTTCAACGAACGAAAAGTCATATTCATGAATTCTTCAATTAAGAATTACGAAAAAGGTAGTGCAAGAGATATGCAGGGTTTTGTTACTCAATTTATGACATCAAAAATTTTATTAGAAACAATAGAAGATGGATCATTAAATGGTGTCATTGTTGTATGCTCAGCAGCAATGGGTTACCATAGACCATACCATGTCTTCAGAAATACAAAACTTTTACCAGATTGTATCATAATTTGCGAACCTACAGGCGATTCAACACAAGGACCTCTTGGAATATCTATTGGCCAGAAAGGATATTCTAAGATAGCTATATCTTTCAGCGGAGATGATGCTAAGTTGGAAGAACTTGAGAAATTAATTGCAAATGAGCTTCAAGCCACTCCAATGAGCGACGAAAACGATCCAATTGTTGGCCAAGGAAGTATTGGTATCGATAAGACTCCAAAAGATCAAGATGATAAAGATAAAGGAACAGTTTACGTTCGTCGCAATTTAGGTTTAGATGAAACATGGGAGAATGCATTAAATGAGGTCAAAAGTCTTCCTACCATCAAAGCCCATGATGAAGACACAAGTGTTGCTGTAACTCCAGTTGACAATGTTCCAGCATGGAAAACTCCAAGAGAAACAAGAGCCATTCTTGCTGCAACAGAATCATATAGAAGAGTTGTTTCCCCATGGGCTGCAACAACAACAGATACAGAAGAACTAAGAGTTCATCCTTTCTTCAAAGAAAGACAAGAGCCTGACAATTTATCGTCTTATCCAGTCAGAGAGGAAGTTCCCCCTGGATTTGAATGGGTAGAAGTTACAGAGGGTGTAACTCCCCCTACATTTGCTATTGGCGCAGGATTTTCAGACACAACAGATGAGACTGTACGCGGTGATCATGTACAGGCAACTGCTGCTGTTATGTCTAGATTCCCATCATTATTTGTCGAAGAATTTAAGTAATTTAAATTTCTATTCTAATTAACATGTTAATTTACCAGTAAATGTTATTAAGTCTTAATGTAAACATTTTTCTTTATTGAATTTATACATTATCGATGGGGGTATACCAATTATTTTTATAAAGTACAAAAAAAAATTCCACGTCAGTAAAGGACGATAGACTTCGATTTTAGGCAGGACTTGTTTTATTCTTGATTTGAATATACCGCTGATCAGAGCATAGTTTCGGTATTATTATATTGAGTGCATGCATCCTCTTATTAGTTATATATGTTATCGATAATCTGATTATTGAAATCATCTAGTATGAGCAAGATGCAATCTTTATTTTGTGCTTTTTATGATGAGGATGCGTTTTATATGTTAATCTGTTTTATAATTCAAAAGATGTCATGCAAACAACTGTGTAAATCATATAATATATTGAAATTTATTATTCTATAGCTGTACTTGTTCATATTATTTTGTAAAATATCAATTTTCTCTATGATATTTTGAAAAAAAAATATGGTGTTAAAACGAATTTGAACTATGAAATGTATTGGTATAAGTGAAGAAAAATAGGACCTATGTGTTATAAGATTAAAAAAAAGTTCAAATTAAGAAATATAAATTTTTTATCCATAAATCTAATAGTAGAAAGTATAATGTGTTTGTAACAATCTTTCAAGTCTTTATTCCTCATCTGAGGTACAATACCTCAACAAGTACCTCAGATGAGGAACAAAGTCAACAATCAGATGTTGATTGTCGACAAAAGACATGAAAGATTGTTTGTAACAATCTTTCAAGTCTTTATTCCTCATCTGAGGTACAATACCTCAACAAGTACCTCAGATGAGGAACAAAGACTTCAATCAACATCTGATTGAAGAACAAAGACTTAAAAGACTCTTACGAAATGTCTTTTAAGTCTTAATTCCCCATCCGTGGTCCACTAACACAACCAATACCCCAGATGTAGTACATTTGAAATAATCTTAATCTGATCATCCTCAAACAAATAAATTCCACTCATTAAACATAATTTGCTGATAATCTCACACTTTTCCATATTTGTTTAATGTTAAAAACTTAAAATTTTGTTACATTTTTCATATTTCATGACTCTTATAGGATAACTTATTTATATCACAGCATGATATTATTATAGATCACATATATAATTAAATTATGTTATATATACATGCTTAAACTAGAGTTTGGGCATCGTGAAACTTACATGATTCTTGAGAAATATCAATGACCGACCAGACTCTTAGCCACAGATATAGTCATAATATTCTCAATCATTCTATACATAAGTCACACAATTTTGACGGATTCTCCAAAATTATATCTTCAATCAGAATCCATATCCTGCACAAGCGCATGAGATGCACCTCCAGGATGAGTTAGAATTTTTGATGAATTTTATTCAGTGCTAAACTTATTATTTAAAAAAACTCAATGCAAACTATTCAATTTTTGGAGATGTAGGCAAGACGATAGCATATTTAAGATCTAAGAAGAGACACTCGTTTATTGGGAGATTTCAAATGAATGATATTAGAGAATATTTCATAAATATGCAATTGAATGATTTTAATTAAGGCTCCAGTCCCACCCTTTCAATTTTTAAAATTGAATATATCCGTCAATAAGAGTTTTCATGACTTATAATTAAAGATATTATATTAGTGTAATATACGCTATAATATTATATTATGACGTAGGGTGTAGCATTGCTAGAACGTTATTTGTAAATTTCACTATTATCAACTTTGAACGACATAATTCGTCCTATAAACAAAAGGACTCTGTCATGTTGTAGGATATTAGTATAGTATATTATTTATATTAGTAAACATGACTTTTACTTCTCCCTGATTGAGCTATTTTTTCAACAAAGAAAAATTAAAAAGTTACTTTTTGACAAAATCTAATAATAAGTGATCCATAATTTTATTATTAATAAACATGTTACTGCATATTCTTTAGATATATCTAAACATTGAATAGCATTAGCTTCTTTCGATTTTTATCAAAGTATATAAAATTACCACCTGAAAAAAAATGACATATTTTGACAAAGAAGAAAAAACTTTTAGTTCCGCTCTGTCACTTTGTTAGCATGCTAGTGATGTTTATTATTATGTCTTAGTTAAATTTTATATATAAATAAGGAATGAGGAATTAGATTCGCAATACCATCACGAAAATAGCATTTTTAAAAGCTTTTAATTCTATATGAGATAAATAGATATGAAAAGTAAAATCTGATATGAATATAATTTAATATGAACTATTATATTATAGTGGAGATTGTTTGTCAAAACGGTTTTTTGACAAGTAAGTATTCAATTTTTCAAAAATATATTCAAAAAATTGAATGATATCTCAACGTATAAGAAAAAATTTTTAGTTCCGCTCTGTCACTTTGTTAGAAAAATTATATAGTTTCTATCGACACTATCAGTATACCCAGCTGTGAAAGGTATATTGAGGAATTAGGTTTGCAAGATTGTAATTTTTGATATTTTTTTCCAAATTGAGAGGATTTTTGACGATAGAGCTAGACTATTTTTGAACAACAATTTCATTACCTTAAGCATTATAAAAATATGAACAAATTTTATTAAGTAATAGTATAAGTTATAATTTATTAATTTCAAAAAGAAATGACCAAAAAATTCCTTTCCAATATGTTGAATCAAATCGATTTTATAAATAAAATTTAAACCTTAAACTTGATTTTTATAAAAGTGACATTTTTTAACTTTCAATAACTTAATCCCATGGTAAGAAGCTAATCCAATCATATAAAAATGTTAAAATTAACCACATGTTTATTCATTTATGATATCATTATGCTTCAAAATCTATAATTCTAAAATTCAAATTATCAATTATCAAAAAATCTTTATTTGTCATATATCAAATAGAAAAGTTAACATAAATTATCTTTCAAACTATTATATCGTTAAATTAGAAAATTTCGAAATCAGATATTATTTAAATTTCTGACATGGTGGATGTATACACAATCTAATGGTATATTTTTGCTCCTCATTATCCACTCGTTCTAACTATATACAACAATCATGTGGGACTAGAGCCTTAACGAACTCGTCTAAGGTTAAATGAGGGATAAAATGCATCAGAATGAGGCTTTGTCTGAACATTAAATTCACAAATATATGATAAAAAGTTAGAAAGTTCTTGAATAGAAGATATATTTTGAAAATTATTTGTTATAAAGTCTCCTTTTGTTTTATCAATTCTGTCACAGAAAGAATCTATAATTGTAAGTGGATACCAATTTGAACGAAATTCAAATCTCGGTCCTGTGTTTCCAAGAAATGAACAGTTTTGGATAGTAACAGATGCATGATCTGAAATAAATGTTCCCCCCGAATAAGGGTTTTTTTGGGCATTATTCAAAACATTACAAAACATAAAATTAATATATTTAGCTTCATCAAACAAATTTTTATAAACCATTATGATTGCCGAATCTGCTGTTGTGTTACAAAATGATGAATATGTTACCTCATTTAACTTTGGATCATTTAAATATATTCCTGAGCCAGTCTTTGCTTCACAGAAACTTGTGTTGGTTGATTTAACTAAAATACTTGCATACCAAAGATAATTTGTGCTAGATTTTTCTAAATTTCCACATTCATAAAAAGAACTTTCATAAAGATAATTTTTCAAAAAGACATTTGCTGTTTGACAAACATATGAATGATGTCCATGATCAGAGTTTGTTTTTGATTTGTAAGCACATGTTCGGTATTGGGCAATGTCACTATTACAATTAAAGTAGATAGATCCACCATTTGTATCACTGCTGCAGATATTAAATGAACAATACGCGCTAAGAAACATATTTCTGTCATTCGTATAATAAATAGCACTTTTAGTTGTAATATCAATGAATATACAGTTGTATAAGAAACAATTTGTTTCGTTTGACATTACCTCAACATTTTTACCTGAAATAACAACTCTATTTGGTCTAGATGGGTAAAAGAGTTGCCAAATATCATCTAAAGCTTGATCAGAGTGTAATTTCTTTATATTTGAAAAGGGATTTGGTTCTATTGTCTGTAAATTCTTTACAGAGTGGGGAACAAAAGTACCCATGTTACTTTTTTAATGGATTAAACTTGTTTCGATCCAACATACAGCATCATAGTTATACTGAAGCAACAACATGTTCTCACATAAACAAATAATTCCTTCACTCATAATTACTGATTTTAAATCTTATTTTAAGTTCAAATTTCAAAACATACTATTTACTTACAGTATCATAATTATACTCAAGCAACAACATGTTCTCACATAAGCAAATAATTCCTTCACTCATAATTACTGATTTTAAATCTTATTTTAAGTTCAAATTTCAAAACATACTATTTACTTACAGTATCATAATTATACTCAAGCAACAACATGTTCTCACATAAACAAATAATTCCTTTTGCTTATTAATACATGGTGAGCGCTTAAACCTAGAATCTGGTATTCTGCCATATATATTAATTTTTTATAAACTACTATTTCTATTAATGATTTTAAATAATAATTGTTTTTCACAATAATCAGGTTTGATTTTTGGTCAAAATTGTAAAAGATAAAAATATCAATCCATCACAATATTTTAAATCCAAGTGAGACTCTATCCTATTGATGGCATGACTGGAAAATTAACATTCATGAAGTTATTAGATTAGGAAAATTGAATGGACCCTATTCAATTTTTTTGATTTTCCTCTCAATTTTATAAAAGATATAACTCAAGAACATGTGACATCAGGAATGGCTCACACAATCAAAAGGATATATTCCTTTTTGGATAAAAGCCTGATGGAACGATATTTTAAAAATATATTACTAGAAAGAAAATAAAAAATCTAATTTTATGAAAATAAATGTTTATTCAACAGTATGCAAACCATATAAAATTTGCATGAGAGAAAAAATTATGGCATCAATGCTAGTAAACAATAACTATTATTCCGACCTCTGGATTTTTTTGAAAAAACGCGACAGACTTACTATAGTGTATAATACGAGTCTATTCCTTGATTTTTTCTCCGATGAGTTTTTGAAATTTGATTATACAATGATTTTGATTTTTCAAATAAGAAGTGTCGGATAATGTGATCCAATATGAGTTTATTGACTTTAGCAGACTGATAATTATTCATGGAAGAATCAATAGATATTTGGTGAACAGCTTTATGAAAGTGTACTTAAACTAGAACTAACAACATAGGTAACAAAAGTCATTGCTGTGTCCCTATCTTGCATTGGTGGAAAATTGTAAACGGCTATCAAAAAAGTGCAGAAAATTCTATTGAAAGAGAAGAAGATATCATAATTATTGTAAAATAATAATAAGTACTTGCAAATAAAGATTATTTTAAGGGTGCACACGAGAGGATCATGTAAACTTCAGAATTTAGAACCTTATTTTTAGGCATTATCTTGGCTACCTATTTAGGCTCGAAAAGCAAAAAATATCAAAAAATACAACTTGACTCCATTATGATCCTTTCATGGAGGTAGTTTTTATCCGCTAGTATTTTCCCTTTGAATCTCTTTACAATTCGAAATCAAATTCAAAACTCAGTAGAAGAAAGGAAGAATCGACTTACTACGGTTGTAATACGAATAAATACATATATTTAATTATTTTTATTTACATAATAATTGTTTGAAGCTCATATTCCATCAAATTTTTAAATAAAAACATTAAAATGTTGAAAATGTTCATATATTTTAATAGGGTTTTGGCACTTTATTGAGGAATTACTACATACATAGTCGAACTGAACTTGATATTTTGAAATTTAAATTATTTATCAAAATTAAAATTTAACTTGAAATTTATAATTATTTAGTCATATTTTGCATAATTCTAAGTAGATTTTGTAAAAAATCAAGAAAGAAAAATTTTAACATGCTTTATTTTTTCTTTTTTATAATAATACATATTATTATATAATTAACATATTCATAATGTTTCACCCTTTCAAAAATATAATCCTCCTCCTCTCAAATAAACGTACATACGGGTGGCCTCTTTTTTCAAAAAATTAAAATTTGAAATTTTTGGCTCAAATATTAGAGATTTTTTCAACCTTCAACGATATCTGTTGTCTATATCAGACCTCCTTTCTTTTTGATACTTAACATTGTTCCTAAATCTTAGCCGTTAAGGCTGTTCTGAAAATATTTTTTTCGAAAAAATTCGAAAAAAATTCTTAAAATTCAAAAATCCCTTAATTCCTGAGGATTTTGGAAAAAAGTCTTTACATGAACATGTGTATATTATATGAAGTATATTGATAAGGTAAAAATCAAATTTTATTGCATATTCATCGAGAAAATAAACTAACGAATCCCTCAAAATTGAGAGGGTAATCCTCCTCCTCTCAAATAAACGTACATACGGGTGCACCCTTAATGGAAATATAGGAAATAATTAGAAGAAATTTTCGCATCGTGAAAAAAATCTTCAAAACATCAAAAAATGATTGGAGCAATCCAATTTATCGGGAAGACTTTGACGACTGGCAAGCACACCGTTACTGTTAAGGAACATATCGGTATCATTGGAACATTAACTTCTTTTTTTTCTGATTTGTTTAATTATCAATGATTGAAAGTAGTAATAATATATAGAGGATTTATTATAACAAATACAAAACAAAACTAATATATTAAAACCCTTGAGAGTCATATAGTTGTCTTGACTGAACAAATGGAATTTCAACAACATCCATAATATCGTCGTATAGTTCCCCACTCCTTACTGGAGAATCAGAACGAATCATGTCATCAAATGGCTGACAGTAAGTGGCAAAAGCTGATTTTATATCTTGAGTTAATTCTTCTTGCATCAAAATGTCCCTCCTTGCAATCACTTCTAAATCATGAAGGAATCTAAGTGCAAAGGAATGCTGTGTGGAAGATGCAGGCTCTTTAATTGCATTTAATACTAACGGGAGGAAAATATTAAAGATTGACTGTCTAAACAAAGCATCGTCAATTGTCTTGTAAATCATTTCGAATACGGCTGAAAGTGCAAAAGAATGCGAATTAAATTTCACAAAAATTTCGGAAAGGCTTTGGACAACATTATCACTTTCAAGTGATATAGTTGTCACTGGTCTAAGCTCGATCAGTCTTGAAAGGAATTTAATTGCCATGACTTGGTATTCATAGTAATAATCACCTAAAGTGCAGCTAAATGCATCTATTGCATCAGGAATGAATAATCGAGCAATTTCCTCATCATAATCATCAATTATTACGGCTTGATATAAGAATTTAAATGAAAATTTGCGATATTCGTTGTTATCACTACTGATGCAAGATTTAATAAGACTGATAGCATCACTTCCAACAGATGATGACATTAACACTCTGTTTTCTATACAGTTTTGCAGTAACTTCATTAATAATAATTTTTCTTCTCCTTCTGCTTTCATTGCTGTAAATGCTACGTATTTTGGAAATTCAATAAATTTGAGGAAGTTGTGAATCGGTAGTAAACGTTCTTCTGAAGAAAGAAGGCTTTGAAACATGTATTCGATTGATGAATGATTTATGTACTTTATCAAGCTTGGTATGAATTTGAATTGAGTTCTTATTAACTCTGGAAATGTAGATAAAGCTGTTTCAATAATAATCGCTAGATTATCAACATTTTCTTCGGTAACATTGCCTTTTCCAGAATTTTGGACTATTGGAGAATCTGCTACTGTTCTAAGAATTGATTTATTTCCGTATTGAAGTGCTTTAAAGGCTCCATTTCGAAGATTTTTGTCGCTGCTATTCAATAGAATGTCAATGAACTGATTGATATTATGTAAAATACTGTTTGTTAGAAAATAAAATGAACTATTCTGTAAGAACTTTATTGTTCCTTTTTAATGAGTTGATTGCGAATCGATCCAGAAGGATCGAGTCCAAATTCAGCTCCCCACGCTCAAGCCTCGCAGCCAGTGAGTTCTGAAATGGAGCAGCCGTGGTTCCAGTTCGCTGAGGACTAGTCGACGTATCCATTTTTTAATCTCTCTCAATTTTTCGATTTTTGGCGGGGGAAGGTCACTTTTTTAAATTTGAAAAAAAGAATGACCAATTTTGAATAACAAAATTTTGCAAAAAAATCATATTAATTTCTTCCATTTATGATTTGGAAGAAATTTTGCTGATGACAGTTTTTATGAAATCGTTGATTTTGATTTTTTATCCCCATTTACAAAATTATCGTTCATGACAATTTAAGTCTGTATTAATTATCAACGTTCTATATTAGCTCAGAAACTTTAATTTTCAATGAATTTACCAAAATTTTGGATTCGCAAATTAGTATTTCCATATATTTAAAAGCTCGATGTATTTGTTATTTTGATGTATAGATGAATGTAGATTTAAGCGCCTAACTGTTCATACATTTACCATCAAATATATTTCAAAATTTTCAAAATTTGTTGAGATGTTAAAAGTATAGTTGTTCATATAACACACTCTATAGTTAACTATATTTACTTAAACAAATCTATATGGAAAATAAATATATTAGAAATATTGAATTTTGTCATCAAATCAAGGATAGCAAACATCTACAAACTCAATTAACTGTTTCTCAGTGATTGACAAAACTGAATAAATTGAGTAAACAGTTCTTCATCAATATTTTCACCAAATTCTTCTTTCTTTTCAATTAATAAGTTACAACCTTGCAAAAGAATATTTATAAGCTCGTTGTCATACCTAAACTGCATGAAATTTTGCATCATTCTATTAACTTCAGTAGAATCATGGGGAGGGAAATTCTGTAGAGCTAATTATTCAAATTCCAAATTTTCTGATAATGTGCAATACGTAGAAATCAGACTATAAATGTTAGAATCTGCATCAGCAGTCGAATTTCCTACCAAGTTAGCAGCCAACAATACATATCCTTCAAATATACTTAATGTTTCTGGAAAAATTGATAAAAACAAATTTGTCAAATAACAGAAATTTTGATAGCAATCAATTGGTATTTTTTTCATGAATAAATGAATAAACATTAGTAGTGAATTCGAAGAAATTCTCTGGTAAATTTCCAGCTTCAACGAAATCTATTATCAATCCTAAATATGAATCATAGCAAGCAGATGGAGCTTGGTTTAAAACATCTGCTGTTGAACATTGCAAAAGAAGATAACTTTCTTCTTTTCCTGGAACTAATCCTAGCTTTAACAAATCTAATACATGTATAAAGATATTAAACGATGGATTATTAATAAATGATCCAATATATGAATCAATTATTTGATCGAAATCACCGAAATCTTCATTGTTTTGCAATGAATTTAATATTCTTACAACGCTACTCAACAAATAAAACCCATTTTTATGTTCATTATTAACTTCAAATGAAAGTAATTCTTGTATCAATCTAAGGGTATCTTCGAAATAGTCATTTCAGGCAAAACAGGAACAACAGCAATAACTAAATCTTCGTTTTTGACAGAAATTGCATGGAAAATATCATTCATTAAATCCCCAAGAAAATCTAAAAATTTTGTTTTCGAAAACATAAAAGAACTTAATAGGAATAAAGAACACTTCTAATGAAGGAGTAGTGAAATGCATCTGACAAAACTCTCCCAAGTAATTTGAGATGTCAGTATTTAACAGAAAATTATCTTCATCATATGGATATTTTTCAAGAAATCTTGACATAAATTGGAATAAAGTTGTAAATAAAGAAATATCACTTTTCTCGTCTTGTTTGATTTGTTCCAATATCATTATGATAGGATTATATATCAAAGGAACAATTCTTTCATTCAAACTAGGGAATTTGCAAAGAATAGCTCCAGATAATAACAAAATAGATTCAAATGAATTTCCTTGACTAATAACAAATTCAATTATTTCTAAAATTGCTGCTGCTGTTTCTTCTTTTATAACTTCACATCTATAAACTAAATTTGTGATATCATTGGTTAAATAATCATCTAAACTATCAATAACTCAAGTAAGTTACTTACATCAAATTCAGTTTGACAAATTTCTGCAATTGATTCTGAAAATTTTTACTTCTAGTTCTTCATCACCAGAAAAAGCCATCCAAAGGACATTTTCCAAAGAGTCAATATCTCCTGTTTGTTCAAAAAGCAATTCAATAAACGAAAGACTCGTTACTTGAAAATTAAAATCATATTCTTCAGGAGAATTATTATGATTTAAAATCTTTTCTCTAAACAAATAGTTTCAAGTTCATTGTCTAATTTCGAAAAATTCGCATAACATTCTATCATAAATCTCAATCCTGTTAAATAATATGATAAATCATGAACTTCGAAGCATTGAACAATGATTTTCAATGAAAAATCCATATAAACATGGAAAATACGATGCAGTTTTGACGCATTCTAATATATATGACTTGACATTGTCACTGTCAGCCATTTCAAGACTTAAATTAAAAATATTAGAAATAATTGATTGAAAATTTGATGATTCTTGGTTAGAAATACAATGTAACAAATATTGGAATATTGTAAATTTAATTTGAGGAGGTAATTCTTCATTAGATAGTATAGTTTCAGCGATTGAAGAATAATTTGGATTATTAATTAGCTATTGATCATCGAAATTTGTTTATTGTATACACCTGACTTAGCTTAATTAACTATTTAATTATGGATCTGATTAATAATACCAATGTGCATTTTCCAATTGATTGATACCGCAATATAACTAAAAGGCTGATCCAAAAGGTTTTATTTTGAGATATTATATTCAGCATAGCTATCCATTGCTATGGTAAAGCAAATAAGCCTTTATAATGAACCTGGAAGCAAAAATGATTCAATCAATTCTATAAGGGCCATCAATTTATTAACAATAAGAAATTTCTTTTAAAGACAATTAACATCAAATTTAGAATTGTTCATTCAGAAATCTCGTGTTTTCTCTGAATTTTCTGAGCTTTCATCGTTTTTGAATAACTTCACTTTTGATTGATGTTTCTTACAGGATTTCAATCTGTTCTTTCTGGTAAACAATTCAAAGTAGGTGAGCGCGAATACATTGCCGAAGAAGAAGGTCCAAAGGGTCTTCTTAACTCAACATACGATTTCGAAGCACTTAAGAAGTCACTTCCAGGTTCTCTTCTTAGCCCAACATTAGGTATGTTCCGTTACATGCCTTTCTTACCAATTGATCCAAAAGATCAGCTTCCAAACGTTCAAGTTGGTGGAACTCCACTCATTCCAGTCCCACAAGACAGATCTCCATTCAAGATCCAGCTCTGGATCAAAGATGAAGGCAGAGAGCCAACAGCTTCTCTTAAGGATCGTGCATCCGCCCTTGTTTGCGTCAAAGCCAAAGAATTAGGCAAAACAGTCGTTACAACAGCCTCATCCGGCAATGCGGCAGCTGCAACATCATGCATGTGCGCATGCCTTGGCCTTAAACCAGTCATTTTCGTCCCAGCCCACGCTCCACCGGCCAAAGTTCTTCAAAACAGACTTTACGGCGCCACAGTCTTCCTTGTCGAAGGCGTTTACGACAGAGCTGTCGAAGCAGCCATGGGAGCTGCCAAGAAGTACAGCTGGTACAACCGTTCCACTGGATTCAATCCATATACAATTGATGGCAAGAAGACAGTTTCATTTGAAATCTGCGAACAGCTTGGTGGCATTCTCTGCCCAGAAGAAACAAAGGGCGAATGCTCTTGGGGCAAACTCGGCAAATTTGTCGCTCCAGATGCAATTGTTGTTTCCGTTGGTGATGGCAACATCATTTCTGGTGTCCACAAGGGCCTTAAGGAGCTCTTTGCTGCCGGACTTATCGAAAAAGTTCCAAAGATTATCGGTGTTCAAGCAGAAGGTTCCAATTCCGTTTACGTATGCTGGTCCCAGAAGATTGACCCAGTTAACATGCCAGTTTGCGAGGGATCTACACTTGCTGACTCTATTTCCTGCCCAACACCAAATGATCCAATCAGAGCCTTCAGAGCTGCCACAGAGACAAACGGTGCTTACGTACAGGTTACAGACGAGGAAATCCTTGCTGCAATCCCAACAATGGCCCGCGCAACAGGAATCTTCCCAGAACCGGCCGCAGCTGCTGGATTCGCTGGCATCTTCAAGGCTGAGCAACAGGGATATCTCAAGCCAGGAGAGAAAGTCGTCATGATTTCAACAGGAAACGGTCTCAAGGATATCAACAACGCAACAAAGTCAATGGAAGGAAAGAATGTCGCAACACTCATCAAGACTTACGAGGATATCGATGGATCAAAGATTTAAGTTGACTTTTTTCTTTGATTTCTCATATTTTTTAAATATGAAATAAAAATTCAGATATTATATTATTTAGATATTCTTTTGCATAAGTAAAAACTGACTAAAGTCTAATTGTAGTTATGATTTTAACTTCTTTTTGAAATTTCTTTTGACCAAGGCATTAACAATAGCTATGATATTCTAATCAATGTGACTAAGGCTTGTTAAGCAACTCCCTTTTTTTAACATTGAGTAAAAAAAAACACAAATATATATATATCGTTATCTAGCACGATTTATAAGAAATTTCTTATAACAGAATATGTATATACGGACTCATTTATCTAATTATTATATTTTCATTGAATAAAAGCAAATATATCTCTCAGTAGAAAGGAAATTTACATAAAGCCTTAAACATCCGTGATCTCATGTAACTTTGAAGGGTAATCATCTTTGTACAGGAATATATTTGAAATCATTAAAATTAGATTGATTTCATAAATTAATAAAAAGGTAACTAAACTACTTTCGCCGATCCGATTTGCTCCATATTTAAAATATAGCTTGCATATGTAGAAGAAAAGCTAATTTTGAAGTACGCCCGAAATCCACCAACAGGATTTCGAGCTACTAAAAAGGTACTTTTAAATGTGATTTTTTTTATAAAAAATTAAATTTATTTCAAGATTAGACTAAAAACTAATTTTATGGAAAATCTATATCGACAAATTTATTACTTATTGGGTATATAGATTTTTTGATTATGGCGATTATGTCTGATATGCTTCCAATAAGCCAAAACACATTTCATACTGATTTCTATAAAAGGTATCTTTATTATAGAAGTGTAAGCTATATCTGTTTGTTTTTTTATTATAACAAATTCAAAATTCTCTTATAAGGACTAGATGAAATCTGTATTATTAAATCATTAGCTAAATGAAGGTTCAAATAGAAAGTAAATATCAATTTATATGATACTGAAACCAAATAGTTCTTTTAATAAAAGATAACACGCTGAAAATTATTGAGTATTTGCAAATCTCAAAAATCTATTGGTGAATTTGGCTCAACTTTTAAAATTATAACATCCATATCAAATCATAAAAGCAGACAAAAATTAAAGCCAAACCTATCGGCCAATTTTTTTTTGATATTTTGATTTTTGAGGTATACTTTTAAAAGTGGATTTAAAGCACTTATGAAAAAACATTAACTTCTGTCGTTATGATTATTGATTTAGACAATAATGATTTTAATCTTTGATTATCAAAACACTAAAGTCATCTTTTTAACATTTGCTTGGTAGCATTAACTCAAGTCTAAAGTACTATTTTATGTGGCACTCTTAGAATTTTTGTATTCATTGTACACGCTGAAATAGTACCATTAAAGTTATGGCGGACTTTCAAAAAATAGTTTGGTCACCTTTATTAATAAAGTATATGAAAGTGAAATCGTATCAGTTATTTTAATGATAGTAAGCAAACTCATATTACAGCAATATAGTTTCTTTTATCTACTTTTTAGATATGAATTTTCAGTCAATTCTATCGGCGCTTCAAATATATATTCGAATCAGAATCAGAATTCATCACATATCCTTTTCCGAACAAATGAGGATGTAATTTTCGAAAAACTTCAGAGAGTTTGAATTAGATCATATCATATAATTAATATATATATATATTTGGCCGAAGCACGCCACCTGAGGCCCGAAATCATATTTGATCAAATATGATTTTTTTGGCCTAAAGGAATGTAGTAAATATATATCTTCACACTAAACTCAATCGGACAAAAAATAACATGATATGCTTGTTATATATTTGATAATACAATAGAGCATGACAAACAATTGATCCTCCACTGACAATCAGGTATAATGTTTCAGAAAATTAATTTCATTTTTCTCAAGAGAATTGAACATTTCAATGATATTCCATTGAATATGCTTGTATTTTACGTTTATTTTGTCTGATGCTCAATAAAATTTATGAAATGTCGACTTTCAGTCGATTTTTATGTTCAAAATATTGTATTTCGTTGGAGTAATACTATCCAGATTGAATCTCTTCCTCAACAAGTTGTGCATTTTTGGAAGACTTTATCCAGTGAATTCATGTGCAACTTCACCAGGATGTATATAATATAACTCAACATATCTAACAAACTCAAGTGCAAAAAATGTACAATAACGATTATTTTACATTCAATTTACTCTCTAATTAAAATGTTCTTCGAAAATACCAGAAAACTAAAGAATATTTTATGTAAGAACATTATTCTTTGGCACCATGTAAAATAAGAACTTCAGCCGTTTCTTTTTTATTATAATACATTGCACAACGAAGTGCTGTTTTGCCATCATCATTTTTTTCATTGATATTCGCACCATGTGAAATAAGAACTTCAACAGTTTCTTCACTGCCACTCATTGCTGCATAATGAAGTGCTGTTTGTCCATTTTTATCTTTTTCATTGAAATTTGCACCATGTAAAATAAGAACTTCAGCAGTTTCTTTTTTATTATACCTTGCTGCAATATGAAGTGCGGTTTGTCCATATTCAGTTTTTTCATTGACATTTGCACCATGTAAAATAAGAACTTCAACAGTTTCTTTATTATTATATTCTGCTGCATAATGAAGTGCGGTTGCTCCATATTCAGTTTTTTCATTGACATTCGCGCCATGTGAAATAAGAACTTCAGCAGTTTTTTTTACTATTTATCAATGCTGCAATATGAAGTGCTGTTTGTCCATCTTTATTTTTTTCATTGACATTCGCACCAAGTGAAATAAGAACTTTAGCAGTTTCTTTTTTATTATTCATTGCTGCAATATGAAGTGCCGTTTGTCCATTTTTAGTTTTTTCATTGACATTCGCACCAAGTGAAATAAGAACTTTAGCAGTTTCTTTTTTATTATTCATTGCTGCAATATGAAGTGCCGTTTGTCCATTTTTAGTTTTTTCATTGACATTCGCACCAAGTGAAATAAGAACTTCAGCAGTTTCTTTTTTATTATTCATTGCTGCAATATGAAGTGCCGTTTGTCCATTTTTAGTTTTTTCATTGACATTCGCACCAAGTGAAATAAGAACTTTAGCAGTTTCTTTTTTATTATTCATTGCTGCAATATGAAGTGCCGTTTGTCCATTTTTAGTTTTTTCATTGACATTCGCACCAAGTGAAATAAGAACTTTAGCAGTTTCTTTTTTATTATTCATTGCTGCAATATGAAGTGCCGTTTGTCCATTTTTAGTTTTTTCATTGACATTCGCACCAAGTGAAATAAGAACTTTAGCAGTTTCTTTTTTATTATTCATTGCTGCAATATGAAGTGCGGTTTTTCCATATTCATCTTTTTCATTGATATTCAAACCAAATGAAAGGAAGTATTCCAAAAAGGATGTAATATTTAAAATCACTGAATAAATGAAATATTTTTGTATATCATTAGTTTGATCGAAATAAACTAAAAAAGATTCAATATTATTGTAATTTCCACAATATTCTAAATTGATCTCTATATTGTATTCATTCATCAAGAATGTAACAAAATCAATGTTGTGTGAAATAATTGCATATTCCATGCACTTATAATTTGGTTTTTGATATTTCAAACATTCACTAATGATCTCTTTGTTTCTTCCTAAAAATGAAAACTCTAGACATGTTTCAGTTATTTCTGAGCTGAATTTTGTTCTTAAAAACTTGAAACAATCAACTGCTCCATGGTAACAACATAATTCAAGTAATGAATATCCTTTGTAATGAGATGGGTATAAATCACTTTTAAGTGTTTGATTTTTATTAAATCGATCTCTTTCAGTGAATGTAATGAATGTTTCTAAGTCATTATACATAATTGCTCTGTAAATTGTATTTTCTGTATGAATTTCGAGTTTTTTCGAATTAACTTTTTTTAAATCGGTAGATTTGTCTAATTTAATTCCATATTCTTTATAAAACAGTAAGTTTGAAATAGGTTCAATAATTCTGACCTCTGTGACATGGTAATCATCAGAAATGAGTTTGGCAAGAAATAAATATGACTTTGTATAGCGATTATTATATGGAATGATATCTAAAATGTCTTTAATAGAATTTGTGAGGAGGTAATTCTTTGAATCAATCAATTCTGTTTTGATCATTTTGTAAATTGACTTTAATTCTTCTTCTTTTTCCGTTTTTAGCTGATACAATGCAAGATATGAATCGATATAGTATTTGTAAATACTTCGTAGTTTGTTGTATTCATTTGGATGAACGTCTTGGTCGGACATTAAAATTTTTTATAAAAGACATATTTGCTATATACCAATTGAAATATCCCTTAAATTCATTAGAAGAAAAAAATACTATGTTATACATGTAGAAAACAATGACCATAAAGATTTCGGATATGCCCGGATTTCCTATTGTTTTTCCACTCAAATAGTGCCATTGCAATTTAGCATAAAATGATCCTTAAAGCTTCTTATAGGCTTAATTTTTAAATATTCAGAAATATTTTTTGCTTATTTACGAAAAAATTCTTATCGTGATAACTTTATTACGTACTATACACTTAAGTTTCGATATTTACTTTTGAAGAGCTCGCATTCTTTCCAATAGATAAGTTAGAGTTGTTATAGGTTGTGTTTTCATCCTTAAAAATATATAAAAACTTCTAAAATCTAATAAACAAATAATATTTAGTCTAGACTACTAGCCTTTATAAATTTAAAATTTATTACATTTGAGTATTTTAACTCAAATGTCATAAATTTCAATTCTTAACATGAATACAAAAATTATAGTTTTAGTAGGAGGTAAGGAAAAACTAAGGGATAATTATAGTTAGATGCATAAAAGGAAACGTATGAAAAATTATTTATTCGTATTGCTTGAGGAGTCCAGTCTTCTCGTCGAAAGCAACGATTAACTTGTTATCATCATTGAATATACGTTTTGATAAATTAATTTTCTTATTGTACATGTTCTATTAGGTAATGTTTTGGATTTAAAATGTAAAATTCTCGAAAATTATATCAAGATTTTAATTACGTGATTTCCATATTCAATGTCATGATATATTTGCCTCGATATATATAGAAATTATGGTCCTTCAGTCTTCGAAGGTAAAAAACTCTCTATTCCATGTGAACAAATTAGATGATTCAAACTGTCAGAAATTTTCAATTCGGTTCCAAAAACGAATATCATTTCGTCATCATTTTTACACTATCCTCATTGGATAGATCATGTTTTGATGGTAATTTGAAGTGAGTTGAACAATGCAAGAACAAATTGGGAAAAAGTGATCGATTCCCGAAATCATTTGATAATATTTGGGATGATAATCTTAAATACAAATCGGAAGCCTTCTCATTTCAAAAAAAAAATTTTGGGAATTTAGAGTCTTCAATTTCGAAGATGTCTAAATTATTAATAATCATAACGAATGATCGAACCGTATTGTATTAGATTCAATTCAATTTGATTGTTTTTTTATATGGTTGGCTAGTGAATTTCAAATATATCCGACCACTTAGTGAAATGCTTTCCAAACAAGCATCTTCCGCTTTCATCCGATCATTCGTTCGCGCCAAGCAACTTAAGTTCGGAGCCGATGCTCGCCAAGTTCTTCTTGAAGGCGTTAACAAGCTTGCTGACGCTGTTGTTTCCACATTAGGTCCAAAGGGACGCAACGTCATGATTGAGCAGCCATTCGGCCCGCCAAAAGTCACAAAGGATGGTGTTACAGTTGCCAAGTCCATCGAATTTGCTGACAAGTGGCATAACATGGGCGCACAACTCGTTATTTCCGTTGCCCAGAAGACCAACGATATCGCTGGTGATGGCACAACAACAGCCACACTCCTTACACGTGAACTCTATAAGGAAGCTCTCAAGGCTCTCTCATCTGGTCTCGATCCAAACGAAGTTCGCAAGGGAATGACAGCAGCTGTCGATGCTGCCGTTGCTGAAATCAAGAAGCTCACACGTAAGGTTTCATCTGACAGTGAAATCCAACAAGTTGCCACAGTTTCCGCTAATGGCGACCACACAATCGGTGAACTCATTGCTAAGGCCTTCAAGGCTGTCGGCCAGGAAGGTGTTATCACCGTCCAGAACGGAAACTCCTTCGAACACAAGCTCGAAGTTGTCGAAGGCATGAAGATCGACCGCGGCTACCTTTCCGCCTTCTTCATGACAAACAACAAGAACATGAAGTGCGAGTATGAGAACCCATACATCCTCATCACAGATATGAAGATTTCCTCCTTCGCAACAATCGCTCCAGCTCTTGAAGCCTGCCTCCATGCCAACCGCCCACTCCTTATCATCGCTGATGATGTCGAAGGTGATGCCCTCGCCACACTCATCGTCAACAAGATCCGTGGCGGTCTCAAGGTTTGCGCAGTCAAGGCTCCAGGATTCGGTGACAACAAGAAGGCCACACTTCAAGATATCGCTACAGTCACGGGCGGCCAAGTCATCGCTGAAGAACTCGGCCTCAAGCTCGAGTCAATCCAGCTCTCACAGCTCGGCCAATGCTCCAAGATCACAGTCTCCAAGGATGACTGCATCGTCATGGGCGGCGCTGGCCAGAAGGACGCAATCAAGGGCCGTGCAGAGGAAATCCGCAAACAGCTCGAAAGCACAGAGTCCAAGTACGAGAAGGACAAACTCAAGGAACGTCTCGCAAAGCTTACAGGTGGTGTTGCCGTCATCAATGTCGGTGGTGCCTCAGAAGTCGAAGTCAATGAAACAAAGGACTTGATCGATGACGCTCTCAACGCTACACGTGCTGCTATCGAGGAAGGTATCGTTGCTGGTGGTGGTATCGCACTCCTCAACGCTTCCCTCGCTCTCGACAACATCAAGAAGGAGTCTCTTCCACAGAGAACAGGTGTTGACATCGTAAAGAACGCTATCCAGATGCCAATCAAGGCTATCGCTAAGAACGCTGGCCTCTCTGGCGACGTCGTTGTTGATAAGGTCCTCTCAAAGAAGGATAAGGCATTCGGTTTCGATGCAAGAGAAATGGAATACGGAGACATGTTCAAGAAGGGTATCATCGATCCAACAAAGGTCGTCAGACTTTCCCTCATCAACTCTGCTTCCGTCGCTTCTTCAATGATGTCCGCTGACTGCATGATCACTGATGTACCAGAAGAGAAGCCAGCTGCTCCACCAATGCCTCCAATGGGTGGTGGAATGTACTAAAAAAAATACAATTGTAATAAAGGTATCAAGTATAATAAAATTATATCAGATTACGTACAAATCTTCTATCTTTTTTTAGCTCTATTTATAAAATAATGATCCAATTTCATTCATTTTTAAAATATGTGGGCCCTTTCATATTGATGTTTAAAATTGGACCACTTCTCTGCAATTTGATATTAAATAATACCGATATGATAAAGCTTTGAACCTTTGACAAGTAAAACAAAACATTATAATCTTACATGAAATGTATTTCCTTATTTAATTAAAAATCCCAAATTGAATATTATAATTGAACCTAAAAACTTTATTTTTACTCTTTTCATTTGAGTATTTTATCAATTCAGACCATTCTTTATCAATAAATACTATAGTTCGTTTTAGAATCAGCGATAAAGAGAATGATATTTGTGAATTAAAATAATACTTTAAACTTTGCCTTAAATTCATCACTTTATAAGTTGTATAAAGCAATCACATTACTCATTCTCCTTAATTGCTAAGCCCGGTAATGAAAAAAATTCAAAAATTCAAAATTTCAAATAACAAATTAAATTTTTGTTATGAAAAAATTAATTTCAAAAGAATTCGGAAAAGCAAAGGACTGAATAATTAGTCAAGTAATCAATTTGGCTCGTTTTTACTAATAAAAAACATCATATTTTGTGATTTTGATATCATATTTGAAAAATATACATTTCAAAGTTGACGCAATGCCATAATTATCGCTTAAATATTTTCATAATATAATTATTATTATAGTATAGTAAAATATTAACGATTTTATTTCAACAACAACAAGAAAATAGATGAATGGAAACATACTACATTAGCATGGATTTAGTATCTATTGCGTAAATTTTAGTTATTTAAACTCCATTCAAAATGTATAAATCAGAAATTAGAAATATCCAAAGATCATATGCAGCACTGCCCATTTATTGTATAAGTCATTGCAATTCCTGGCTAATTATATAACATTACTGACTTCTTTTTCTCATTGAAATAATTATCTCAAATATTAGATTGTATTATGGAAGATAGTTGCCAATTGGTGTAACAAATTTAGTTGCACATATCATTTCTTTCATTTCCGGACGATAGGTGTCTTGGAAGATTTGCCGGGTGTCATCATAGTGTCTTTAAATCCAAAATTTTATTTTGGAGTTAGTTTTATTGATTTTTCAATAAAAAACATTTCTAAAACAAGAAAATAAAACGATAAAATATTTATATTTAATATAAGGATCTTATATATTTAAAATAAATATCATTTTATTTTTTTCATTGGTGTCTGTCAAACCATAATACACTATTCAAAAATTCAATGTGTCTTGCGGTTTCAAAAGACACCTTCAAATTGAACGATAGCATAGACACTATTGAATTTTACCTTTTATTTTTTTTACCCTTTTTTTTTTAAGAATTAATGACTGAAACATCCGTTTTGCTATGACCTCAATCACTTTTATTTATTATTTTAAATATTATTTAATTTTATTATTTGAATAGGCCAACTTATATTTGAGAAGCTCAATTTGAGACCACTTAATACATTGAAATATCATAAATATTGAAATATTAAAAAGTGTATTTCAAAATATTGAAATTATAAAAATTTATAATACTGAAATTGAGACAAATTAATAAATTCAAAGTGTTTTTTTTTGAAATAACTCTCAAATATTATTTTTTTAATGATGAATAAATATGATTGCTTTAGTCAATCATAAAAACTAATTTAAGTTTAAAATAATGAAAGGATAATTTGATTGTTTTTTAAAATACAATTATTTTTGATGATTTGCAAGAATCCTTGAAAAGAATATAATATAGGTTCTATTTTTGTAAAATTTATCCAAATCATGTATTACATAAATTACGATTAAAACGATGAAAGAACCAAAAAGTGTGTTTTGTGTTTTGTTGTTGCGTGTTGGATGCGGGATCCTGTTATTTCCGAAATCGACAAAAAATTTGGAAATTTAATTTCCGAAATCGAAATTATATTAATGTTTTTAATATTCTTATATCAAAAGGATTAAAGTTCATTAAGAGAAAAACAATTCTTCTTCTTCAATCTATTGGCGCATTTATTTCTACACGCCAATAAGGAAGGGAAAATTATAAGACGCCATGGTGTCTTCAAAACGCTAATTTTTGATATTTTTAACAACCCTAATTTTGATATCATATTTGAAAAATATACATTTCAAAGTTGACGCAATGCCATAATTATCGCTTAAATATTTTCATAATATAATTATTATTATAGTATAGTAAAATATTAACGATTTTATTTCAACAACAACAAGAAAATAGATGAATGGAAACATACTACATTAGCATGGATTTAGTATCTATTGCGTAAATTTTAGTTATTTAAACTCCATTCAAAATGTATAAATCAGAAATTAGAAATATCCAAAGATCATATGCAGCACTGCCCATTTATTGTATAAGTCATTGCAATTCCTGGCTAATTATATAACATTACTGACTTCTTTTTCTCATTGAAATAATTATCTCAAATATTAGATTGTATTATGGAAGATAGTTGCCAATTGGTGTAACAAATTTAGTTGCACATATCATTTCTTTCATTTCCGGCATGGCGAGCAGTAAGGAAGCATTCAATAACCGTAGGACAATCGAAGAAGAAGGGTGTCATTTTTCATGGAACTTCGTTAACTTGTGGCGAAATGAGAAAGTTACTTCATTTTGGATATGTATTAAATTTAGTTTATATTGGATAAACAATATAATTTTATTCTCAAATTTTGGCGGGAAAATTGAGACTCATTTATTTTTCATGAGTGCTGAAGAAGCAACAGCTCAAGCCAAGGATGTCCAAAAGGAAGAGACTACAAAGCCAGTAGAGGCCAAGGAAACAAAGGAAGAGGCCCCAAAGGATGAAAAGAAGGAAGACAAGAAGGCTGATAAGAAGAAGGAGAAGAAGGAGAAAGCCGAGAAGAAGGACAAGAAGGAAGACAAGAAGAAGGATGAAAAGAAGGAGAAGAAGGAAAAGAAGTCCGATAAGAAGAAGGAAGAAAAGAAGAAAGAGGAAAAGAAGGAAGACAAGAAGAAGGAAGAAAAGAAGGAGGAGAAGAAGTCCGACAAGAAGAAGGAAGAAAAGAAGGAGAAGAAGGACAAGAAGGAGAAGACAGAAAAGACCGAAAAGAAGGAAAAGAAGGAAACCAAGAAGAAAGAAGAAAAGAAATCCGAGAAGAAGACCGAAAAGAAGACAGAGAAGAAGTCTACTAAGACTAAGGCAGGCAAGAAGACAGAGAAGAAGGAAGAAAAGAAGGTTTCCAAGAAGACTGAAAAGACTGAGAAGAAGTCAAAGAAGACCGTTATTGAGAAAGATTCTATCAGAGAATTCATCGTTGAGGCTATCCTTACAAACGTCACAGAGGAAAAGAAGTGGGCATCAGAGTCAAAGATTAAAGAATACGTCCTCAAATACTACAACGGTAAGATTCCACACGGTCTTATCAAGAACAACGTAAAGTCTAACCTTGAAAAGCTTCACAAGGATGGCCTTCTCAACAACAAGAAGAACTCATACCAGCTCTCTGCTAAGGGCAAGAAGACAATCGCCCCAGAAAATATTCCAAAGAGAAAGGAAGTAGCTCGCCCAGTCAAGGCAGAGCCAGCTGAGGAGAAGCCAGTAGTTGTTCAAGAATATGTCAGCAAGTCAGGTCGTGTTTCAAAGAAGGTTCAGCAATAAATTACTCCTAAATTTTTTTATTCATTAATTCAACTCCCTTTTTATATCTTAACCATTTTTCAAGTGCTATGAATAATTACCATAATATCAATGTGATAGGAGGCATGATGAATTCGTTATATTATAGACGTTATGTTAAAAACATAAAAATCAATTGAATAAAAGAAACCTTAAGAAGCCAAGTTCTTGCAGCAAGGTTTACACACATCAAATACAAAATTTATTTTGAGATATATATCTAGTTTACTTGAATTCAAGCTAATCAGATCCAAGTGTAACTCCAATGATCGTTAATTTGCGCATGAAAGCCATAGAATCGATTTCTAGTATATGTTGGTGAATATTTCTAAACTTCCATATAATTTTTTTTTGCATGTGAAACTTTAACGAAAGAAAAGTTAAATCATTAGCATCATCTGTTATAAAAGTTTCATCAATACCAAAGAAATCAGATAATTGAAAAAATGTAAATTCATTATTTAGTGCCAATTTTAAAATAAAAAATTTTGCAAATTAAAATTCAAGACAATGTTTAAAATAAAATCAAATAAAATATTGTTAGGCGAAGTCATCATCGAAATCATCATCTTTCTTATTGTCATCATCTTTCTTTTCGTCCTCAAAATCATCATCCTTTTCGAATGAATCCTTTTGTTCAGATTTTTCGAATGAATCATCGAAATCATCTTTCTTATTTTCTTCTTTCTTTTCTCCATCATCAGAATCGAAATCATCTTCTTCTTTCTTCTTATCATCATCCTCATCCTTTTCGAATGAATCCTCTTCTTTCTTCTTTTCTTCTTCTTTCTTGTCATCCTCAAAATCATCATCTTTTTCAAATGAATCTTTTTGTTCAGATTTTTCGAATGAATCATCGAAATCATCTTTCTTCTTTTCTTCTTTCTTGTTTTCATCGTCCGAACCGAATTCATCATCACTCTTCTTCTTATCATCATCTTCATCTTTCTCGAACGAGTCTTCTTCTTTCTTCTTTTCTTCTTCCTTTTCAAATGAATCTTCTTTGTCACTTTTTTCATCTTTTTCAAATGAATCCTCTTTATTTTCTTCTTTTTCAAAGGAATCTTCCTTATTTTCTTCTTTCTCGAAAGAGTCATCTTTATTATCTTCTTTCTCGAAAGAGTCTTCTTCCTTCTTTTCTTCTTTTTCGAAAGAGTCTTCTTTCTCAAAAGAATTCTCTTCTTTTTCGAAGGAATCTTCATCTTTCTTCTTATTTTCTTCAAATGAATCTTCGAATGATTTTTCATCTTCTTTGTGATCATCATCGAGCTTATCTTTGATGACGGAAGAAAGATTAAGGGATTTAGGTTGTTCTTCTTTGGCTTTAGGAGATTCTAGCTGTTTCTCTTGTTGACGACGTGGAATGTCATCTTTTTCTGGTTTAAGGTTAACTTGTGACTTTTTCTGAGCATTTTTGTTTCTTGAATTTGACTTTGAAGTTTTCGGACGAACAACAACAGGTTTTTCTTCTTTCTTTTGTTGTTTTGGTGAAGAACTTTCTTCGTTTTTATTCTGATATTTCTGCAAAAGATCTCTTCTTTGCTGTTCTGATTTAAGACGAGTTCTTTCTGCGTCTTGCCTTCTTTCTTCATCCTGGCGCTTCTTGTTGTCTTGCGCTGCACGTTCCTTGAGTTGTTTGTCTCTTTGGAACTCCGCATTTATTGATCTGCGTCTGTTTTCTCTCCTGGATTTGATCAATAAGAATTTTTCTTCGTATTCTTGCCTTTCTTTCTCTTCCTCTTCTTCTGTCATCTCTGGATATATCTTGGACTGGAGATCATCAATATCTACCATGTCTTCTTCCTCCATGTTGAGCTCTTTCATGTGATCGTTGAGTTCTTTAACAATTGAAAATAAATGATCGACGTAGTTTTGATGTTTCATCGGATGAAGCTTTTCTTTGAGTCGTAGGTTCTTTATATTGATCTTGTCGTCCATTTGATCGACCATTAAAGATCTCTGCTGTGAAATTTCGTCGTTTGATCTGATTGGTGGTTCGGATTTCTCATGTACCATTCGGGAATTGAGATCATCGAGAACTGCTTTGAGTTCTTTGTTCTTTTGCTGTAAATATTTGAGATTGTTTTCTTTAATGCGAATTTCTTGATATTGAGGAGAAACTGACATGACTGCGAGCTGTTTGATAACATCGTCGTTCTTCTGAGATGCATTCTCAGCTGTTTTGCCTGTTCGCTTGATTTCAATCATTAAGTACGCTATTTCTGATTGAAGTGAACCTGCAAAGGCTGTATTCTGAGCAAGTTGTAACTCTTGTAATTCTTCGTTGAGAGATTGAATGTCTGCTTCTAGTCCTTGAAGTTTTTGCTTCAATTCGTTCTCTTTTTTAAGGTCATCTGGATTTCCATCCAAAAATTGCGCCAAAGCATCTGTGTATCCTTCTCTATCGTTTAGTATTTTTGTTTCTTTATCTAATTGTTGTTTTACTTGGTTATAATTCTCGAGAGATCGATTATATTGTTCTAATGCAACCCTAAATTCGTCAACAAGATACTCTTGTTCATTCAATGGGTTACCACCTCTCCAGTAGAACTCTTCTTTCTGGTATTGGCTTGGAGGACGGGTTGGAAAAGGATCCTTCCGCGTCATATAACGTATTTTGAACTTTACAATCTTTCGATCATAATAGTTAAACATATATGATGTTTATTCAAAATAACACGTATTTTCTTGTTAAACTATGTGCTAAAATCAAAATAATTTGCAACCTATTTCAAGATATTAATTTTTGTGGGCCACACTTCGCTCCAGAGAAACAAACCACCAAAATTATTGAATATAAAACCAAAAATTACATACGAAACATCCTCGAATAATTCATAAAAAAGTGTCAATGTCGGAGCGAAAAATCAAAGTTAAGGGATTAAGCTTTTCCACAACGCAGTTTATGGTCAAACAGGAGTTTGAAGATTGTGGCGATGTCAGAGATGTTGATAAAGTTAAAGATGAAAATCAAGAATGCGTATTTTATGTCACATTTGAAGAGGCTGAGGATGCAGCTTTGGCTGTTAAAAGAATGAATGAAAAAGAGATCAATGGTGAAAAGATTACCGTTACTTTCGAAGGATCTAGCAAGAATTCACGTTATAATCGCGACTACGAAGATGATGACGAAAACGAGAGAAGAGATGATCGAAAATTCAACAAACGTGATGACAGAAGAGATTATGATCGCAGTGGCTCAAGAGATGGCCGAAGAAGTGATGATCGTCGTAACTATAGAAATAATAGCAGAGGAGAAAGAAGAGACGAGAGGTATTCCAGTGACAGACGAAGTGATAGAAAGAAATCACCAAAATATGACGATGATCGAGATTATTCACCAAAACCAAGAGAACTTAGCGAAAATGTTAAAGAGATGTACAACAGCCTCGTTACATTATTACAGGAATACATATCACACTGTTTGAACTAGAAAATGAATTAAATGTTTTTATTCCTTTTTTTGTTACTTGTTTGTATGCTCATACATATTATTATATGACTTTGTTTTTAAATATCTTATAGATGTGTCATTTTATTAACCTTTTCCAATATTATTGTTGGGAATTTTTTTGTTTGGAAATGAGATGTGCCTCGACCTAATTTTTTGGATTTGGTGACCAATATTGAATTTATAATACACATGCGCCATGTAGGTAAATAGAAGATTCATTCCCACCTTAGATCCAAAAATCTATTGTATAACGTTTCGAAATTTGTCGGGTTCAAAATATGATCTTATAGCTTCTTTTCTGGAACAAAAAGAAGGATTTTTGATATCGGAAAAAAGCTCGGGTTCGAGTCTGACATTATTATTTTTAATTTTTTTTTGTATGTACACATGAAATGTTTCAAAATTATAAAATTATAAATCGCATACTAAAGACATACAAAATCAAAAATAGAAGAAACAGAAAAATTAAAATTGTTGTAAACAGAAATTCATCAAAAGTGACACCTCAGAAAAGCTAAAATATTGAATTTTTGGAACTGTTGATAGAGCACGTTTTTAAATATTAATTAAAGTAAATGTATATTTTGTAAAGATTCTTTTTAATAAAAAAGTAAAATTTTGAAGAAGAACACAAAATCTTCTGAAAAATAATATCACATAAACTCATATTATTTTCTAATATATAACTATTTTATATAAAAATCAAATTCAATGATCTTAAAAGCGAAGGATAAACCTCAAAAATTACGAATATAATAAGTGGGAATATAATGCTTATCTATCATAAAATACGAAATATCAATTTTTGCTTGACGCCTAATTTTTGACGACAATTAGCAAAAAATGTTAAATGTTAACACTCAGTCCATTTGAATATGAAAAATAAAATTGACTTTGATTAAATGTTTTTATTTATCATGCAATTCTTCTTGCGACCAAAGATTTGAATAAAATTTCAAAAAATAAGATAGCTTAAAAAATAATATAGGTAGTGTTTACTAATAGATGAATAGTATATAAATTCTATTAAAATGGATTTGATCCAAAAAATATAAAACCAAAAATAATTGTTATAATTTAAATGAAGAAGTAATTGAAAACGATTTTATTTATTCAAATTTTATATATTTTTTTGGATCAAATCCATTTTAATAGAATTTATATATATTCATCTATTAGTAAACACTACCGTATATTATTTTTTAAGCTATCTTATTTTTTGAAATTTTATTCAAATCTTTGGTCGCAAGAAGAATTGCATGATAAATAAAAACATTTAATCAAAGTCAATTTTATTTTTCATATTCAAATGGACTGAGTGTTAACATTTAACATTTTTTGCTAATTTGTCGTCAAAAATTAGGCGTAAAGCAAAAATTGATATTTCGTATGGTTTTATGATAGATAAGCATTATATTCCCACTTATTATATTCGTAATTTTTGAGGTTTATCCTTCGCTTTAAGATCATTGAATTTGATTTTTATATAAAATAGTTATATATTAGAAAATAATATGAGTTTATGTGATATTATTTTTCAGAAGATTTCATTCTATATGCCTATGAAAAGTACTCTCAAAACTAACTTTTTCCTAATTATAATTAAATCTAGAATATTGTATTATGCTTAGTATTATTTCATTTTTCTCATTCAATTTAGAATTTACAAATGTCAAAAAATTGAGAGCTGTCACCTTTGATGAATTTCTGTTTATTACAAAATTAAAATTAAAATTAAAAAAATTAGTAGATTCTGTTCCTGAACCAGTTTCTGAAGATTCAGAACTATAATTACAATATTGCCAAAAGATTAATATTATGTTAAGAAGCCATTCTCATAAAATTAAGATGAGAATTATTTGATAATTCTGTATACATAGCAAGAATTGTGGCAATCACTTTTTCTAATCCATCTTTTGGTGCAAAGAAGTAATTAGATGAAGGTTCACGTCTTTGATCGATTTGATTAACACCATCTGACATTTGATTATTTACAATTGCAAGATAAAATTGAACATTAATACGGAACGCCATTCGAAGCAATTGTATACTTGATCGAATATCAAGAACTGGATTCCTCATTGCCTCAAACTAGAAGGCAACAGATGCAATATAAATTGCCAGTGGAAAATACATATGAAGGAGGCATGTCAGAAGCGTGTGGATAGAATAAATTGCCAATAGATATTCGTCTTGCATAGAATTGTTATCTCCTCTAACTAAAAGAGCATCGCCTAAATCAATAAACTGTAACAAAATATCAACGCCTATGACACAATTTGGATCATTAAAAGAAACACATAAATGCTCTGATTAGATCTCAAAAGTTGATCTACTGTTCTTTCTATGGTGATTTGGATCAATAATGTAAGCAGTTTCTCCATCGCATGTAAATTTCAAACATCTTTTATAGCATTCATCGATATCAGGTAAAGAATCTTGAAATGTATCAAAGAATTTTTTCTGCTTTTTGTGATAGCCGTCATCACCATCAGTAACAATATAATGGATTTGGAAATGCTTTTTTGCTTCTTTGGCAAAATTTTTTATTTTTGGAAAAACTTCATATTTGCACTTTCCATGACGAAATGGAAATGTCCAAGAATTGACCTGGGAAGATCAGCATTTAGTGGCATGAAATATAATGTGAAAATATAATTGCACTCTATATCAGGTTTGCATCCTGACCATTGATCAACTTGGCCTGCATCTATAGCAATTGTTCCATAAACTTGATCTGTGAAAATACGATTTTCTGTTTCAAATGATTTATTTGTTGGATAACCTAAGGTATTAATAATACTTGAAAGACCTCGGCACGATGTAAGTGCCTTTTTGATTATTGACGCTCTTTCATCATAATGACGTCAAACAGTTGATTCTGATGGGATTGGCAAAACAGCTGTTACTTTTTCCAATGATTTTTCGCAAGAAAACATAATGTCATATGCAAATTCATAAGTGGGTGGATCAACTATCACAATGTAAAAATTGTTATTTCAATCAAAAGAAAATGCTAATGATTCACATAATTTTTTTACAAATATTGAAATTTTTTTAAACAAAACTCCTGAAATTAAACCTTTATCAGAAAATTTAGAACCGAACAAACTACAAAACATAAATACTAATAAATTTCAAAGTAAGAATATTAATAAATTTCAAAATTTACTTTTGCTTTTTCCGACAGAACTCAGGTTAATCAGAGTATTCCGCTGGCAAATATGCTAACAAAACGTCCAGGCGTTAAAATTCCAAATGAAATTTTGGATCTTCATATTATGAATTGTTATTTTAATGCTATAGGCTTTGAAAAATACGTAAATATTATGTCATTTGATAACAATTACGTTCCGTCACAGTTTACATTATTTGAACGGCAGTTGGAAATACTGCCAGAGTTATAGGAGTTTGTCCTCGCTCTGATCGCAGAGCTCGATAATATATATAAAGAAGATGAGGAAGTAATAGCTGCATATGACGGGGCGTATTCCGGAAAACGTCATGCCAATAGTGCAATTGGAACATTGATAAATCAATTCCGAAGGTATATAAGTTTATTCCGAATTGTGATTAAAGCAGATCAAATCCCCCGTTTTAAAACAGTCATTTTCAAACGAAAAGATTTTCCATCAACTTTAATGGAAGTAGAAGCGTTAACTGATTTAACAAAAATCGAAAAATTTCACTCAATTACAGCATTTGTTTCGGATAATAATGCAAAGGCAGGTAAGGTCGTTGCAAAATCAGGCGCCCAGTGTTTAATTTTGAAAGATGTTAACCATACTATTTTGCATAAATTTACAAATGACAAGTTTGATTTTCTCGAAGAACGATTTCGAGAAATTATGAAATATCCTTGATTGATTATCAGTGAGAAAAAAGCCAAATGGCAGGGTCTAAAAGAAGAATATTCAACTTCTAAAGACAAAGATTTGATAAGTAAAATGATAGATGAAACAACAGTGTTATTTGATTTTATAAGAAGAGGCCGCCACACAACTTTCAACGAATACTTTATTGCCATGAAAAGCAGATATCTTGAAAAAGATAAAAGCTGGATTATTGGATATATTGCAAGATGCTTTGTCCAAAGAATAAAGGTATTTTGAATTACAGTAGAAAAGTTGAACAGACAAAGCCTAATATAAGTAAAATCAATGTGAAAGAAAACTTCATTCCAGGAATTCAAAACAGAAAATCCTATTGCTTTTTGATTGTAATTGTCCAGCTCTATACTTTTTGTCCAGAAGTGACATCAATTGTAACTCCGCTTTTAAAAGAAACAGTAAGAACAATAACTGACACAGAAATCCTTGAAGATTTAGAGCTTTATGATATTGAAAAGGCTAAATTAATAGCTGGGCATCTCCTAGTACTCATTAACGGGGATTTAGAAAAATATTCGATTTGGATATCAATGCAATCAAACCAATCATTATCTTGTTCCTCTAAGATTTAAAGAAAATATGGACTTTAGATATAAAATTATTTCAATCATCGTAAATCCTCTTTTTAAAATGAAGATGCAAAAGTTGGCCATTTCTGTATCTTTACAAAGCTTCCCAAAGGAAATTGGCAATTACTCGATGATATAAAATATGAATTTTTTTCTGAATTCAAATAACCTGCTGAAGTTGCAAAATGAACTTCTGGTAGAATCTTCTATTGCATTTATTCTCGAGTTGATAATTCTGAAACATATTCATGCCTTGAATAAGATAGACTTTCGATAAAAAGGAAATTAAAGGACTTATTGAATGCATTTCGATAATTTATAGGTCGTTCAGTAATTGCTTAGCATCTCAATACACAATTAAGATATTTCTATTCTGATTTCATATTAATAATTTGTAATGATTGTAGCCTATTGTATTTTTAACATCAAGTCTCAAATATTAGTTCATTTTTCCTATTTTGTTGTGTTCATATTTTGCCTCCTGAAAACTTTGTTAACAATGAAGTAAAAAATCATAATGCTTATCATCTAAAATTTTTGAAACATAAAATTAGAATTTCTATCTTTGGGAAGTTTATTTAATTATTTCTTCTCCAATAACAATTTTAAATAAGAATTATATAAACATTATTTAGCTACTATTAATAAAGTTTATAAACATGGAATTAGAACAGAAATATCATATTCAGGTATGGAGATGCTAAGCAATTACTGAACGACCTATATTTGGAATTCTTGATAGATTACTATGTGAGTATATACAAATAGATACTCCTTTGATAGTAGTATCTTATCATATAATTAGTTTCTTGATTGGAAATAATCTCTTCAGCTAGATCACACTTTATATGAAAGCTACTTAAATTCTCTACCCTTAAGGGAAAAAGTCAGTTTTTTGATTTTAAAAAAGCAGGCTTTTCATCAGGGGGACTCATTCGCTTCGCTCGGCGTCCTCCTGATGAAAAGCTTGCAATCAAATATCGCTTTAATTTTAAAAACTCCAATCGGGGAGAATTGAAATCCCCTATTGGAGTTGCCCCTAATTTATTTGAAAGTAAATTATCGAAGTATTGAATTTTTTGATGGAACATTTTTGTATTATTAGGTAAAATTGTTTGAATCCTTGTTTATTAATAAAGTGTATCCTTCAAATTGGAAAGATTCGATAGTGTTTCTGGAAATTTCTGAATAAGAAATAAATGTTTATATTTGATGAATATGATGAGAATTACTCAAATAGTATTTGATATTTTCAATCTTCATAGAGCTTTGTTTAACAATGTTGCAATCTTGAGAGGAGTTTGATCGATTTTACTTTAATATTGATTAATTGAATTTTGATGAACTATATGAAAATTAAGTGGAATTATATCTCATTTAATATTTTAAATATAATAATTTTTGAACTTATGACTTGTATTGCATTCCTTTAATCTCTTTTTCACTAATTTTAAAATTTTCTTCAAATTTTCTATCCCCAATTTCATTTTTTCTTTTCTGGATTTTTTGGATTTTTATTTGATTTTCTGCTGTGACTTTTGGCATTCTTTTCACTTTTCTATGTGTTTTTCACAAATTTATCTTCATTTTTCTGGGCATTTTTTTCTTAAGTCTAATTCTTGGTGCAATCGAATTAAAGAAACCAGGCTCTCTCTTTTCTTTTTCTTCATGAGGGCCTGGTTTTTACTCTCATCTTAATTGCTTCATCAGAAATTAATGTTGTATTTGAAATTATTAATTTTGTTGCCCAAAGTCTCGTTTCTCTTTCAAGATCAACATAATCTCGAGTTTCTACAAATCTATTGGATAAAATTTTATCTGAGGAAAGAGGAACAATTCCGGCAGTTCGAAAAGATTTTTGAGCTATTTCAATATCAAGAACAAAATTGATATTTGGTTATGGTATTGTGTCCATATTTTCTTTATTGCCAATTCTTGCGGATTTTTGCATATAAACCACTATATTTGTTACTTTCATCTTATAAATTAATAAATATTTGTATTAAAAATTGAAAATTTATATATATTTGAATTTATGAAAAATGCAATAAAATATGCTAAAATGATTTTTTCATATTTTTAAAATTAATAAAATAAAATATAATTAGATTCTGAGTAAATCCAAAATAATATCAAACTTTTATTCAATTTGGAAAAAGAAAACGGCATCATTTTTTAATATGCAAGCAATCCCATGGTTGGAGCTAGCTAAGATCGGCATCAGAGAAGAACTCAAAGTGAATTTTCCTTACAGACGGAGAACAGTAAAAGGTTCAAGACATAGGTTAGAGACAGTGATGGTTAAATTCAATTTTTGCTCCACTTCTATATGATAGAAGTGGAGTAGCGACGGGCAAAAGTATTTTTTTATTAATTTTGCTAATAAATTTGCAAATTTATGACTAAAACTTTGAACTCTTACTATATTTGTAATTTTGCTCCACTTCTATATGATAGAAGTGGAGTAGCGACGGGCGGAGATCTTCATATGTCGACACTTAAGCGAAATAATATGTTTCTATACTTTATTTTTTATCTAAATAAAATCAATAAAATAATCCCTACATAAAATATAAACTCTAAAAATAGTTGAAACGTATGAAGGAATTTCCCTGTCAGAAAA